GACAAGATACCTTGGTGTTTCCCATTTCCTACCGACAGCATACGATGAAAGAAAATTAAAAGACAATTACAAGGTCCTCATTTCAGGAATAGCCAAGACCTTCCTTCCCCACTTAACATTCCTCTACGAGGGGCAGCCCAAACATTTACTAGGTCAGTATTCTCAGCTTTACAAACTGAAAAATTTTGTTATGTCCACCAAAGTTCTGCCACTGAATGCTAGACCATTTCATATTGGTGGGGGTCACCTCACACTCGAAAGGTTCTCTGGGGCCAAAAGTCTCAAATCGGGTAGTTTTTCTGCCAAAAAAAAATTTGATCGCCTTTCTCCTATTACTTTTGAGTTATGGCATACTGCCATGGACTTTTTAAAACTGATTTCTGCCCAACTGTACAACAAATGCGGCAGTGACAAAGGTACTATTGAAGGTGAGCGAGTGTTGAGGAAAAGGGAAAATGTCAAAGAAGATGTCAAAAACAATAACAACCAGAATACGGACTTTTTGTCCTTTCTCAAAGCTTATGTAGTGGAGGCTCTGTGCACCTTCTTTGACATGAATATAAATTTGGACAATCCCTCAAAACAAATTTCCTCTAGATTTATCCTATACTCGGCACTCGGGGCCATTGAACAGGGAGGGATCTTTATCGTGCCAGCAGCTACTGCGACACGGGACCCCAGTTTATATGGTCTCATACGAAGAGCCGACCAGCACGTCCCGCAGTGGGATTTGAACCCAGATTGACTCCTTCGCGACCCTGGAGCTGATGCCCTAATCACTGTGCCAAGATGACCTATTGCTATCTGTATTTATCCGTCATAGTGTGAACATTAGAACATTTTCAGCTTAAAATTCTTCTCTGAAACTGCTTACCAATTAGGATATAGCGTCTATGGGTGAAGAGGAACAAAGATTTTGAATTTCCCTCTCCCGATACTTTGAATAATGGTGAACGGCGTGAGACATGTCTCTAACTGAACACTCTTATTCGTAACTTGTCTTTCTTTTAAATTTTTAATAAGACGTAGATCTGGTAAGCTGACTATTTTTCTCATCAAAATTGTCAGTCATTTATTTGCTAAATGGTAGATATTTATTATACTAAGTTTTTAGTGCGGAAATTCCTGGAAAAATTAAAGGAATCGGAATTTCCTGGTAATATGCACATTGTGTCCTAAATATCTGCAAGGACTGACGAAATTATGTGCTGCGGTTTTAGAGGAGTTGCGCTTACAATGTGTTCATCTCTATATTCAAGATACGGCCAAATATCTAAGTTGAAAATTGTGGAAATTCCTGGAAAAAATAAAGGAATCGGAATTTTCTGGTAATATGCATATGTATACATTGTGAACTAAATATCTGCAAAGTTTGATAAAATTGTGGGCAGCGGACTGACTGACACTCTGACTGACTGACGGACGGGTCAAAAACATTATACCTCACGCAACTTGTTGCGTGGATATAAATATCTCGCGAAGTATATGGAATTTCGGAATGAGCTTTGGTAGATGATGAATAGATTTAAATAGAAAGTAAAATTTTAGAGCATTTGATTAAGAAATATTTTATTAGCGAAATTGGGTACTCAATGTAAGAGTTCCATACCTATATATTTTTAACACACATTTTTTTAAAGGCGATCCAAAGTCCTGTGGGTGAAACATATGGAGATAACGAACAGTATTCATGATGAAAAAGTCCATAAAACAATACAAAATAGCAGCAGAGCAAACATGACATCCAAAACACCAGAGGTGGAATCAGGTGCCATGGAGGAGTAAGCATCCAGAAAAAAACATGTATTGTCAATCAGAAACTCAAGCACTTCTTTCATGTCAACTTAAGAATACAAGTAAAATTGATGAAAAGCATCAAATCGGTCGTTAAAATTTTTTTTAGCATTTCAAAAAAGTGCTTTCACAATGTTAAAAAAGCATTCATGCAGGGAAAGCAGAAGATATTCAAAGCTGAAATAGTGATCTTTTTTTTCCAGGCCGTCTTCAAAGCAAAATAAATAAAAAATTTTTTTTTAAATTAAATAGATATATTTGTGCATGCGCAATTGCTCATCCAATGGATTTATCGATGTAAAAAAGTAAATGATTAATATGAGAAAGTATTGTGATCAAAATGAAGATGTAGGCCTCTGAAGATTAACCACATGTTGATACCCTGAATTTTTATCACGTGATAACACGTGCCCATATGGTTTTTGCAGTGTAGGCTATGCTGCATGGCGCGGTGCAAAATGTAGAAAAATAATCTTCGTGTCATTCGCAGCTGTAGTATATTCAAACAATTTTTTACTAGTTGAACAACTTTTAAATTATTTTTATTCACCATGCACTTTTACCAGTCATTAATATCCGGAAAATCATGACTATTTCCTCTCGTATCTTATACACACCAGGATGGGGAGTACCTATTCTAAATTCTTTTATTTTACCATAAATCATCAATTATCTGATGCGAAATGATAAGGAAATTGAAACATAATATCGATTAAAACTTAGTTTAAAGCAAGTTTTAATAATATTTTACTCCTGATTTTATACATGTTATCATATGAGAATTATTTTAATGAACTAATAAAATACATTGTAATAACATCTCATTTGTCATTTCCCCATGTGCACTTTTTAACACAACCACAAATAGATCGGCCGCTGCTGCGGCCGATAATCAGACTGTTTATTAACAAAATAATTTTTGCAAATGACCAATGACCAGGTAAGCCAACTTACGAGGTCCATTTTTATTGAAAAAGCAGCTGTCAATGATATCAAAAAGCCTGAAGTTTAATTTAACATGGGGAATGGCACCGTATCCCATTCTGGAGAGCTACATGCGGACTCTGGACCGTGGCTTGATACGATGGGAGAATTGTTGTGTATGAAGTTGAAAAGTCGTAGTTTTTAAGCTGTTTATTTTGGTAGAGGCTTGTGATCTTAAATTGTTTAAAAATTCCTTGGAATTTTTTAGTATCCATATCTGATTTACACCACTTCTTGAATACTCTCAGGGTTTCTCCTTCACTAAGTACTGTTTATACCTTAGTGAGGGTTGAATATTTAATGGAACCCGTTATGTATCTTTCTTTGTAAGGGTTTTATGAAGTTTTGGAATCCAACACGGATATGGTAATTCAATTTCGTTTTTGTTCTTTAGGATATTAAAAATATTCAAAACTGACATATGCTTTTGAAGAATTCCTTCCTCAGAAAAAATTAACTTTGCGGAGTTGGATCACAAAGTTTCAAGGAAATCCAAGTTCTTCCAAAATACAATTTATAAAATGAGCCTTACAAACGAAGACAATTTGTTACCTGCTTTGTCAGCAGGGACCAGTAGGCACTGACCATGTAATCCAATTCTTTTTTCCCTTCTGGATTATTGAATGCAGAAGAATCCAGTGGCGTAGCGTACATTAAGGCAAAATGGCAAATGCCTACACATAATTTTGGACCAAATATATGGTCATTTTGTTTTAATAAAATAAATTTAATATATTAATTTGTCAATAATAAATTTTAAAAAAATTCAGTACATATATATTTTATAGCTGTAAAACATAATTTACAGTCTTGTTTCTTTTAGTGGCGTTAGCAGTCAAACTGAGTACCCCATACAAAGATGCCCCGGGACATTCCTGCAATCTTTGACAAATTAAGAAAAATCTAGTTTCTCAAAACAAAGTGGAAACCTTTTGCTGTTTTAATGCCAATTAACCAAGTTACTTTATATAGCGAATTAAACCGAAATTTAGTATCAAACTTACACGCAGTTTCAAACCCTTAAAACGTTCTTTCCATTTTTCCGTTCGCTCAGCAGCGTTACTAACACTAGCTAGTATATTAAATAATTAAAACTTTAAAATTTGTTTGACACAGGTTTATGCATAGGGAGAGTGAAGGGCTACGACGGAATCGGTTAAGACCAAATATCTCTCTCTCTCACTCTCTCTCTCTCTTTCCTCTCTCTCTCTCTCTCTATAAAATTTATATGTTTATACAAAACAATCACAACATATTACTTAAATTTCAATTTTTGAAAATATTTATTCAAATTTATAACAATTAATATAGATGCCTATATATGTATCATCGTTTCCAAATACTGTAAATCACTTTTTATTCGCGAGAACTTTATTTTCGCGTAATTACGCGAGACGGTATGCTCGCGAAAATTTCATTCTCGCGTATAATAAAATTCCTTAAGATTATACAGAGCAATGACCACAATTCGCGAAAATTTTGTCTCGCTTATTAAGAGGCAATGACTATCTCGCGAAAATAAGGTGTCGCGAAAATTAAGTGATCTACAGTATTCAAATCACGGGGAGGGGGTCTCCAAAAAATAATCTAATTAGACAAATTTTTCAACTTCTATGTACTTTGAGGTGACATATATCTTTGGAATTTATAAGAGTTTGCTTTAAAAAGAAAAACTTACTTTATGTCTCTCACTATTTCCTAGATACAAGCAGCTCACCGCAGTTTTGTTTTGCTCAGAATTCTATTTCAAATACGACAGGAAAAATATATGTGAGAATGAAAATGTCATTTATTCAATAGTGAATGACGAAAAAAATTTTACAAACAAGGGGGGGGGGGACTTACTGGATCTGACTGTTTAATGGGCGAAATTCCCAAAATACCCAATTAAAAAACTATTTTAAAAAGCATACGTATTTTGTTTATGTATTACAGGTTTTAACGGTTCATTAAATTTAATGAATTTATTGGTTCAATTTGCCTAATGATTCATTAAATTCTTAATGATATGATATACATTAGTTAATAGATATAGTCATTAAAATGTGTTGTACAAAACCTTTATTACAGTGTTGTACAAAACCTTTATTAAAGTCTTATTACTTAATGAATCATTAAATATTTAAGAATTCATTAAAGGTCTATTAACATTAAAAAATGTCCCGTAATGCATTGCGTTACCACTTCCGTGGGCGTTTCCTTTGTTTACTAATAACCTATAATAAAACCAGTTTAAAAATCCGCCAAATTAGAACTCATTTTAATCATGACGCAAAAATTAAAAAATTACGTCATTTAACCCATTCCGAGCGTCTAAAAGGATAAATCATAAAGAAACGTCATTTCATCGAAAATCAAAAACTCCTGCTGCACAATGACTGATGGAATTCAATTTAAAAACAATAGAAATCGGGGAAAAAATTTCGATTCAAGTGAAATTCAACTTTTAGCTGATCTAGTGGAGAGAAATGTTGACATCATTAATAGCAAACTCACAAACAGCGTTACCAACGAGAAAAAGAAAAAAGTTTGGGACAACATCACTGAGCAAATTAATGCCTTAGGGGTTTCCTGTCGCACAACTAAAGAAATTAAAACCAAATGGACGAATATGCACCAGACGGCAAAAAAGGAATTTAGCAACAACAAACTTTCACAGAGGCGAACGGGAGGAGGACCCTGCGCCAAACCTTTGTCGACGGTTAGCGAAAAAATTATCGACATCTATAAAGATTCTCCAACCTTTACTGGATTGTCTGGATTCGAGACTCAGGCATCTGGTAGGTTTGAGTTCCTAACTTGTAAGAAACACAGTATATTAGATACTAATTAAAGGCATAGCGCAAGGGGGGGGGGGTTGTTAATTGAAAGGCTGTTTGCCCCCCCCCCCCCTTCACGTTTTGTGATTTTAAGAAAAAATGTAGTATTGTAGGTTAAAAAATAATGAATTGCGTATATTAAATGTTATATCGACCAATAAAAGCAATTATACTTGACTGATTTGTAAGGGTCTTATTTCTTTTCGGTGAGGGGGTGAGGTGATGTATTCTAGATACACGTTCAATCGGAATTAAGTTGCAAAATGATCTATTACGTTACACATACCCTAGAAGAAATATTGTGTAAATGCACCAAAATAACTATCAATATCATATAAAGTATAAATTAAATGTAATAATATCAAAACATTTTCTATACCTGCGAAGAGGTCCTTTATCATCAAATTATGAATTGGGCAGTAGGTATATAAATTAATTGTTTTCTCAAGTCAATCACTCTATTGTGTGCAAATGACAACGATTGATTTGATTCTATAATTGATAATACATCTTAACATAACTTTATAAGAGAAATTTTGGTTTCACTCACTAAAGTAAAGTAGTTAAAGCTGAAAGCTGTGAAAAACTATTTCGGCCAAACATTGTGAAAAGTCATTTCATACATAATCCAGTATTCTCCCTTTGTTTTGTTTTTATATCACTGCAGTAATTTGTAAACGTCACAAGGAAAAGCTAAAATATATGCATCGGTATGCTGAATCAGAATCCTCTACCTCGTTTAGTTTCAGTTAAATATTCCAAACAGAAAGCCACAAGAGTCTCTTCTTTCAAGCCCAACTATGATCGACACACAGGCAAAATAAAACAGTCCTAACTCCCTCAACATTCATTCACAAAATGACGTCATCGTACTAACAACGCCACCTTTCGTGTGATGGACAATTAAAAGTGTCCTTATGAATTCATCGTCTGAAACCCACGGACAATTAATATAAGCGTATATGCGAGATTGGTCGTGGGTTTCCGACGATGGTCCTTAGCTATTTTAGCACATTACTTACATGAAATATTTGAGTTGGTGGTCTACCTTATTTCATTAAAAGGTTTCGTCATGATTTTTTTTATCTAATGATGGAATTTTCTTTATGCCATATGTGTTAATTTTGTTAACTTTCAGGGGGCATATTCATGTTGTTTTTTTTTTCAGGGGATCAAAGTCCACAATCAGCTGTAAGAAATGAAGGACTTGGACATTTTTTTGACAAGCAAACAAACACAACACACACAGTGACACACACAAAAAGAAAACAGATTGCACAGAACTGAAAATCTTATTTTATTGGAGGGGTGGGATCGACATATGTTTTTTCTAACTGAAAAAAGATCACTTTTCTTACAGTATTAAAAGGGATTTGTTTTTCTCATTGGGGAAGGGGGGTGTCTAAGGCTACTTCTTCGTTTACTCTGAAAATCAACCCACCCAACCCCTTTCCACCCTCCTTATGCAGTCTATAGCCCTCCAAGGACTTTGTAGTATTTGAAATATATTCTGGGTAATTAGCGGCAGAATTTCTTTTTTGTATTAGATCTATAATTTTTTTTTTCTGAACAGACGAAGGCAACATAGAGATACCGGTATTGGGATCACCACAAACTGTGTCAATGCTTACGGAACTTCTCATTCCGACAGCAAGCAATAAACTCAACGAAGGAGAGTTAAATGAGTGTTCTGATCTACATGTAGCACAGAATCTGGTAACCGTGGCGGCGGAAGTGCATGTATCTGCGACAGATGAGCCAACTACGACTGCGACGACAAACATGGAGCCAAATATGTAAATAAATAAATTGTTAATATAAATTCTTTACAAGCTACCACAAATCATAAAAATGTAATTCAGTTTACAATGAATATTGTTATCCTACGAATGCCCATTTAGGACCTATCGAAAAATATTTTTGAATCCGATATAACGAATTCTCGCGGTTTATAAAGCGTAAACTGCTCCAAGTTATGTTATATCGGATAACATAAGTTGAAATTAACCTCGTTTTAACAGATTCTAAAACTTGTTATAACGATTTAAATTCATTTAATCGGATTCCATAATTTGTTATAACGAATTAAATTCGTTAAAACGAATTCCACAAATCGTTATATCGAATTCATATATATTTTTCTATAAGCTCTGATTATTGAATTTGATTAAACGAATTTAATTCGTTATAACAAACTTTGGAATTTGTTTGAAGGAATTTAATTTGTTATAACAAATTTTTGAATTCGTTATAATGAATTCAACAAATTTGTTAAAACAGATTAAAATCGTTATAACAATTTGAAAGAAATTGTTATAATGAATTAAATTTGTTATAACAAATTCGAAAATTTGTTAATCAAATTTTAAAAATATATTTATAGTCCTAAATTGGCTTCCGTATTATCCCGAATGCACTACAGTAAAATTGAATTTACTCTTGACCTGTTACACATTTTAGCTCCAAAACAGCGAGAACTCCAACTGATCGTAGTCAACGTAGAAGAATAAGGCCCGAAGATGTTACAAGAATGCAGTACGAAGTTTTGGTAGAACAGAAGAAGAAGATACAGGAGCAAACTATTTATTATCAATTAATGAACAAAAAATTGCGGTTGGAATTAGATTTACCCAATGAAGATTAATGAATAAACGAATCATGCATCACTGAATTAGTAATATACGATAAATTACATTTATAAATGCGAATGAACTCTGAAAACTACACCATCTAATATGCACCTGTACATGTACTGTACAGTCGGTACGGGAGTCGGTAGGTGCCAGATAGAAAAAAATATATATATCATACATGATCAAATAAATAAATTTACAACAGCCATCAAATTAATCACTTATAGTCTCCAGAAAGTATATATCTGACTTCTTTTCCTAAGTTGAAAATGAAATATAAAGAAAAGGTATATATTTTTTCTATAATATATTCAACATGTTTAATTTTTGAGCACTTTTAAATACGAAAACTATTCACGGTGTCCAAAAAGATTATTGTATACATGTAGTCCAGAGTAAACTTTATATCGCTCCATATAGAAGGTTTACATAGCTTTTTGTATCTTGCAATCTTTTTTTAAAATCATATTAATTAATAGGCACATAACATTGTACACATCAATCTAAGAACATTATAATTTTATAAAGAATATCAAGTCACTGAAGTTTAAGTTTTATTTGATTTCTAGAAATAATGTTGAGTTATGTAATTCCTGATAAGTTAAAATCTTGAAACTTTCCTTTGTCAACAAATCGGGTCCATTGTAAATCCCTTGTATATTTCCATCGACAGTGAAATCTTCATCCACACTCGGTGGCTCGTAAAAATTTATTTCCAATTAGCCAGGTTATGCAAAAAATACACAAGCAAATATTTGTGAACAATGAAATACGAATGAATATGGGTTGTATCGTAAAAGTTCACATGGACTAGAGCCATAAAATTGAAACCACTTAAGATTGGACATTGTAACAATTTATTTTTTAAACACTTATTATATCACGATTATTAGAATCATTTTTCTTCATATAAATAAACATAATTATATGTAATAGTTATATTGTTAACAAATTGATCCGCAGGCACATTGATGCTAATTTCAAGCAACGGTTTGTAAAGGCGGCGCAACTCTGGTTTTGATTACGTGTTTTCTTTCTAAGTGTATAAGCTGAATTTTTATTTTAACATGAACATTTGTTGCCATCCAAAAATGCAGTTTATTCATCCAAGATGTGGTATAATACAAATGTACCTTAAAATTTGCGATTTGTAAAGTACCAATTATAAATAGTTCTATTTGAAATTTTATACGTTAAATTTAGATGAAATTTTCAAACGATTAAACATATTTTATAATTACCTATGTAGAAAGGGGTAGGGTTTCCTTTGTCAACAATTTTAACTGTTTACCGGAAGTTAAAACATATACCGTTTTACTCAAAGCCTTTTGTGTTTTGAGTCAATCAATTTGAATTATCATCTGTCCTTAACAAACCCTCACTTTGCAAATTGAGTTTTTCTATTATTTGAGTAATTTCCCCATTTTGTTTTAATTCTTGAATAATGTTGTATAAGTTTTCATTTATTTTTCACCCCTGTAATGTTTGTAAATTTGTTGTATGTCATTGCACTTGAATTATATGGGCCACCACACAAATTTGTTAAAGGGTTGTATAATGGTCTTAAGCAATTGTTTTATTAATCTGTTATGTGTGAAATTGTCTTAAAGGTGAATAAACAGTTGGTATCATATATGCCTGACATTTGTGATTTTTAAATATTATTGGGTTATTTTTGTGATTGCGAATGATTATATCTTAACACTCCATTCATAAAGACATTTCTCCTGTTCCTGTTTTCAGGTCATTACATGCCAACAAAAAAAAATTATATATATCATACATGATCAAATAAATAGATATAACAGCCATCAAATTAATCACTTATAGTCTCCAGAAAGTTATCTGACTTCTTTTCCTAAGTTGAAAATGAAATATAAAGAAAAGGTATATATTTATAATATATTTTAAATCAGCACTTTTAAATACGAAAACTATTCACGGTGTCCAAAAAGATTATTGTATACATGTAGTCCAGAGGCTCCATATAGAAGGTTTACAAGCTATCTTCATCTTTTAAAATCATATTAATTAATAGGCACATAACATTTACACATCAAAAGAACAGGAGTACCCCATATCAAGTCACTGAAGTTTAAGCCCTATCTAGAAATAATGTTGAGTTATGTAATTCCTGATGTTCTTTCCGTCCTCGGGTCCATTGTAAATCCCTTGTATATTTCCATTGACAGTGAAATCTTCATCCATCGGTGGCTCGTTGTACAATATAGCCAGGTTATGCAAAACTGCACAAGCACCTAAAAGTGAAATTTATTTGTGAACAATGAAATTCGAGGGTTGTTCGAAAAGTTCGTGGACTAGAGCCATAAAATTGAAATCACTTAAGATACATCAATGAATTTTAAACACTTATCGATAATTAGAATCATTTTTCTTCGTATAAATAAACATAATATGTAAAGATTTTAACAAATTGTTGATGCTATTAGAGCAACGGTATGTCAAGGCGGCGCAACCTCAAAGATTACGTGTTTTCTTTTAAGTGTGTAAGCTGAATTTTTTTTTACATGAACATTTGTCATCCAAAAATGCAGTTTATTCATCCATGTGGTATAATACAAATGTACCTAAAATTTGCGATTTTAACCCCAATTATAAGTTCTATGAAATTTTATCGTAAAATTTAGATGAAATTTTCAAACGATTAAGGGGTTGTAATTACCTCAGAAAGGGGTAGGGTTTCTTTTTCAAACAATCGATGTAGTTTTACTCGCCTTTTGTTGTTTTATGTTCCTTAAATAAATGTTAGCATAGACTTCATAGTATCAATTTTATTGAATCAGTCCACCAACTTTTCGAACAAATATCGTACATACTTGTACATTAAAATGTATTTTATATGCTTTATAGCTTTATAGATTTGATTTTAATCAACTGTACCAACAACCATTATAAATGATGTAATTTTATTCGTTTGTGAGATTTTCTCTCGGTTATAAATGCACAAATAGTACACAGGCACCTGCCATTATTTTTCTTTCAATAAAAAAATATATACTCATACATAATCAATCTAATTAAAATTAGATCTTCCATCCGCCCCCCCCCCCCCCGATTTTTTTATATGTCGTAGCGACTATCAGAATTTCGGAGCGTAACAAAGATCTGATTTTAATCAGATTGACATAATGATAAACAAAGGTTTATTATTAGGTAGGGAGTATATTTTTTATTAAAAGAAAAATAAGTACTGTCAGGTGCCTGTAATATAGTTTAACAAAAGCTAAATATAAAGGGTTTAACATTTCATGTGTGTATACTGTATGTATACTGTAACCTTTGACTATTGACCTTTGCCATGAAATTTGACCTGCTTTAAATTTAATAACATTTGTTGTTTGTTTGTTTTTTGTTTTTTTGAATGTGAGATGACAGATTTTTCTTTTAACGTGTGACCTCTACCCTTTCAGAATGTCTCGTAATTTTTTAGATCAAGACCTTAAAGTTTGGTATCAAACAATGCATATTTGCAAAAACAGTTACAATATGCCATAAATCCTTGTTCCTTGATCTACCAGCAAGATCCTGAAAGCTAGGAACTACGTACAACTCTCTGAATTATATTACTTCTTTCTCATGTTTCTTTCTGTACAAAGTAGATATAGTTGATTATATAAAATGACAATTCTGCATTAATATATTTTATATATATATTTACCAATTATTGTGCACACTCTCTCTGGTTTCATTCTGATTTCGGAGTGAAGGACATGAAACCGTCGTTTCCACCAACCAAAAGTCCTCTCTATGGTCACACGTGTTTTAGAGTGCGCTGTATTAAAGCGCTCCTGGGCCTGAGAGGAGGGTCGGAGGTATGGTGTCATGAGATATGGCTTACAGGCATACCCGCTATCGCCCAAAATGATGCCATCGTTGATTGAACGGAAGTTCTGCTCAATATCTTGCTTTATTCCACTCATGTTAAATATGTGGCTATCATGTGTGCTACCTGGCCATCTTGCCACGATGTTGGTAAATTTACCTGTATCAAAAAAGCGCAATAATTACAGCTTGGGTGAGTCCATGAATTTTACTTTAAGGCAAAGGGGCATTGCTGAGCAGATTGTGCTAAAAATCATTTAATGTGATTCAAATATCTATTGATCTGACAAAAAGAAAACGTTTGCACACTTCTAAACAAGTACTCTCCTCAATTCATTTTAATCTGACCATGCAAGTTTCCTCGGGGAGGAAGGGGGGGGGGGGGGGGTATTCAACGGTTATTCATGGTTACTCGAGCTCTTATTGCAGAAAATATTTCCGAAAAATTCTAAATCATTGAAATGATGTAAATGTAATTTCAAAGAAAATCTCTTTAAAGTATTTTAAAAGAATCTAAAAGAATATATCTTAAATCAAATCTCATTTTTTGCATACCAGTATCATCACATATTGCCTGAACATTGATTGAGTGGTAGCCCTTCCTATTTACAAATGCTGGTTCATTCTCTGACGGTCCTTGGATCCTCACGTGAGTTCCGTCGATACATCCAATAACACCTGGAAAGCCCGCTAATTTAAAAAATTCACTCTTGATTCTGGTTAGCTCCTCGTCTACTGGCCATTTAATAAATCTGGGTGCAAGAGATACCAGCGCCTGTGACACTTTCACAACGATTCGAGAGACGGTTGACTTGTCGACGCCGGTTGTGTCACCAAGAACTTGAAGAAAACTTCCACTGGCATAAAATCTCAAGGCGATCAAAATCTATTTTTTTTAAAGAAAAAAGGAATTTGTTTGTAGACTCATTCTATAAATCGCGTTTCTGGTCTGCAAACTGCATGGATTCATGTTTACTTTTCTCCGATAATTTCGAAAATATACTGTATGTGTAGTATAGATATTATGTTAGAAAAACTATTCTCACGCAACAGATAAAAAATTTATAGTGTTAAATATATCCCCCTCCTTTATGTCTTTTTTTGCACCCCCCCCCCCCCCCCGAATAAATGAATTTAATTGAAATTATTTTTTTCTCAAGTGTTTCTAGTAAAATACAAAAAGTATCATGTATGTAGGGAGAGGGCTAAAATACGCTTTGCCTGCTGTCCAATCCCATTCACTTATGTGAATAAAATTTTGTATAAATTAAAAAAAAAATGTATGTAGCATAATTTTTCATCAAAAACTAGGGGTGGTGATTACAGAAAATTACTTACAAGCAAAATTAAAAAAGGCAGTCTACGTAAATATATTTCGTGTTGATGCAATGATGGGTAGAAATTAGATTGTCATGTGGAAGGGGATTCTTGGCACCTATATGCCTTGATAAGTGAAGGGGAATAACTCGTATTTAGAATCAATCAAGAATTTTGTCGTCACGGTTCAGCTGTTTATAATCAAACAAAAAAAATTAAAACATTATTAGAAATCCACTTCAGGTATAGAAATATGTATAATTATTATGAATTATTCCTGGTTCATTATTCTTGGGTTATCTATGGGTAAATAATGTCAGGTGACGCAATATGTGACGTAATCAACCAAACCGAAACAAGGAAATGGGGGTATATATGGTGGTGTTCTTGACTATTTTCATCTGGACAATACATTGTATGACTAAGTAAGTTGTTTAACTAGTTATGTACCTGTAATTCCGTTGATAGTGCCTTCGACCTTTTCGTTCTGTGGCCGATAATAGGATCAAGAAGCTCTACTATTTGTTTAATTGAGTCTTTTCCAAAGCGATATCGCCTACGGATGTCCTCGTCAGTCATGTTTTCTACAGAGAAACGTTCTCTAAACACTCTATCAGCCCTCCTTCTTCCCAACTGGCCAAACATTACGTTGGCCGCCATAGTTAATGAACGTTTAAAGAAGCCCTCTTGGGTTCATTAAAATTAGAGAAGTTAATGAGGCTTTAATGCACCGATTCGTTCATTAAAAAATTGATACAACGGAATTTAATAACACATTAAAAATGATCAGTTTAATGAAGCTTTAATCATTCATTAAATATTGATACATAACCGTAGACTTCACTAAGATATTTAATTCTATATATTGATTTATAATTTCGATGAACGGTGTTGCCGTGGTTACTTAAAATTGAAATTTCTCTGAAATACTTTCAAAATGCTGCTACTCCTACAACTTTGGCCTGATTTCAATATAACTTGACACATAAGTAGACTTCACTAAGATATTTAATTCTATATATTGATTTATAATTTCGATGAACGGTGTTGCCGTGGTTACTTAAAATTGAAATTTCTCTGAAATACTTTCAAAATGCTGCTACTCCTACAACTTTGGCCTGATTTCAATATAACTTGACACATAAGTAGATTTCACTAAGATATTTAATTCTATAGATCGATTTTTGATTTCGATGAACGGTGTTGCCGTGGTTACTTAAAATATGAATTTCTGTGAAATAGTTTCAAAATGCTACTTCTCCTACAGTTTTGGTCTGATTTCAATATAATTTGGCTGCTGTTGTAAAGTTTCAAGTCCCAACTGCTACTTTTCTCTACATTTGTGATACGTACAAACCAGTAGAGCTTCAGTCTAAAGAGACTTCTGGTTATTATATCCCGCTTGGCGCAATGGTAAGAGCAGGTGCTCTATAGTCGCGAAGTAAGGAGTTGATCCTTACGTCGTGGGTTCGAATCCCACTGTGGGACGGGGAGACCGGTCCTTCGGCTGAGACTATATAAACCGAAGTCCCGTGTAGTAGGTGCTGGCACGAAAAAGATCTCTCCCTGCTCAATGGCCCTGAGTGCCGAGTAAAGGACAGAACTTTGAAGCTCTCCACCGGGAAGTGGTGGCGTCTCCATACTAGTGAAAAATTCTTTAGTGGGACATTAAACAATATATAATCATTTTTTTTTTATAGAAGGTCTCATCCAAAAGGTCCACAACTGTCGTGTCAAAATACCGCGAGTGCCGAGCATTGGTCAGAATTTTCCAGAAGGACATTAACCAACGAACAGAGGCGGTCGTCATTCAAACACACGACTGGGGGACATGTCCTTCGGATGAGACAGTATAAACCGAGGTCCAGTGTTGCAGACGTTGCACGGAAAAGATCCCTCACTCCTGAATGGTTATACACGCCGAGTATAGGACGAAATTTTAAGCCCTTCATCGACAAGTAGTGGTCTCCGTATCAGTGAAAAGTTGTCGAAAGGGACGTTTAACAACATTTGAACAAACAAGCATTCAATCTTACGAATTCATCGACATATAGTGAATTTAGTTTCTCGAAATGAATTCTGCGTTTCAATAATCATAACCAGAAGTCTCTCTCGAGACTGAAGCTCTACTGGTTTGTACTTATAGCAAAGGAAGAGAAAAGTACTTAAGCAATTGGGAATTGAAACTTTACAACAGCAATAAATAGAACAATGATCCTTGATAAAGTCTCTTTATGTTCTTAGTGTAGTCTACTTATGTACCATGCAAGTTATATTGAAACCAGACCAAAACTGTAGGAGGAGTAGCTTTTGAAACAATTTTACAGAAATTTCTATTTTTTGTAACCACGACAACACCGTTCATGGAAATCAAAAACCGATAAACCTAATTATGTATCTTAGTGCAGCCTACTTGTGTGCCAAGTTATATTGAAATCAGACCAAAACTGTTGGAGGAGTAGCATTTTGAAACCATTTTACAGAAATATCTATTTTTAGTAACCACGACAACACCGTTCAAGGAAATCAAAAACCGATAAATCTAATTATGTATCTTGGTGCAGTCTACTTGTGTGCCAAGTTATATTGAAATCAAACCAAAACTGTAGGAGGAGTAGCATTTTGAAACCATTTTAATGAAATTTCTATTTTTAGTAACCACGACAACACCGTTTATCGAAATCAAAAATCGATGCACAGAATTATGTATCTTAGTGTAGTCTACTTGTGTGCCAAGTTATTCTGAAATCAGAGCAAAACTGTAGGAGGAGTAGCATTTTGAAAAATTGTTTACAGACAGACGGACGACGGACGCATTACTATCGCATAAGCTCTTTTGGTCTCTGACCAGTAGAGCTAAAAATTGAGAAAGTGTGCGTTTATTTTATCTAAGGGACATCTATCCAGTTCAGTTACCAAGTCTGAATAAAATCAGTACTCTGACGTATGTGGAACCTCTCCAGTGTTTTATGCCCTCCAGGAAGATGCCCTCTAAGATTCGGAGGTACCTTGTTTTTGCCTTGTCCGTCCGTCTACCTCGAGTTGAATTGTATCTAGATTTAGGGAGTGGAAGGTAGTTAAATGACCATTGTTGGAAAGTGGAAAAAATTTTTAATGCTCGAAAAAGTCTTGCGCCGTAAATTTCATATTTTGCATATAAATCAATCAATTTAATTTTTTACACTCGCATATAGATGTCACCATGTGCAGGTTTAGATTTTTACTCAGCACTCGTGCCTTTGGAATAGCTAGTGATGGATTTCTCTCGTGAATTAAAGCAATATGAGCTGCATGTTTGACATCAGGAAAAAAATGTTGTAAATTTGAAATTAACTATTTCAATGACAGAAAATTAGAACATTTATAAACTTCTGTTGTTCATATTTGCGATGAAAGAACTTTTTATACGCGTTGTTTGAAGCAAAATTGAATTATTGTCGTCCTGTACAATAATGATTTCTTATATAATACTGTATATTCGGTTGTACAGAAATATTTCTTCTGAAATATTTTTAAGCTTTATTTTGGTTTTATTTATCATAAGGGTTTAGATTACATGTACAGATTAATCATAATAACACATTTTACCAGCAAAATAAAATTCTCAAAAATGCAGCTCATATTGCCTTAAATTAAAGCCTGTGTTGACATAGATTCTTGATTTTCGTGTTCCATTCCGTGTTTCTTCGCCATGCGTTCTACGAATTGAAGTAAAAGTTGCGGGTTCTTCAGTTAAAACCAGAAGTCTCTGTCGAGACTGTAGCTCTACTGGTTTATACTTAAAACAAAGGAAGAGAAAAGTAGCAGTTGGGACTTGAGACTTTAAATCAGCAATAAATTGAAAAATGATCCTTGCCACTCATCAAAATAAAAACCTATGCACAGAATTATGTATCTTAGTATAGTCTACTTGTGTGCCAAGTTATACTGAAATCAGACCAAAACTGCAGGAGGAGTAGCATTTTGAAAGAATTTCACAGAAATTTCTATTTTTAGTAACCACGGCAACACCGTTTATCGAAATCAAAAACCGATGCACAGAATTATGTATCTTAGTGTAGTCTACTTGTGTGCCAAGTTATACTGAAATCGGACCAAATCTGTAGGAGGAGTAGCATTTTGAAAGAATTTCACAGAAATTTCTATTTTTAGTAACCACGACAACACCGTTCATGTGTTACTAACCACGACAACACCGTTCATGTGTTACTATTTTTAGTAACCACGTTAACACCGTTTATCGAAATCAAAAACCGATGCACAGAATTATGTATCTTAGTGTAGTCTACTTGTGTGCCAAGATATACTGAAATCGGACCAAATCTGTAGGAGGAGTAGCATTTTGAAAGAATTTCAAAGAAATTTCTATTTTTAGTAACCAAGGCAACACCGTTCATCGAAATCAAAAACCGATGCATAGAATTATGTATCTTAGTGTAGTCTACTTGTGTGCCAAGTTATAATGAAATTGGACCAAAACTGTAGGAGGAGTAGCATTTTGAAAGAATTTCAAAGAAATTTCTATTTTTAGTAACCACGGCAACACCGTTCATCGAAATCAAAAACCGATGCACAGAATTATGTATTTTAGTGTAGTCTACTTGTGTGCCAAGTAATATTGAAATTGGACCAAAACTGTAGGAGGAGTAGCATTTTGAAAGAATTTCAAAGAAATTTCTATTTTTAGTAAAAACGACAACACCGTTCATCGAAATCAAAAACCGATGCACAGAATTATGTATCTTAGTGTAGTCTACTTTTGTGCCAAGTTATATTGAAATCAGACCAAAACTGTAGGAGGAGTAGCATTTTGAAAGAATTTCACAGAAATTTCTATTTTTAGTAACCACGGCAACACCGTTCATCGAAATCAAAAACCGATGCACAAAATTATGTATCTTAGTGTAGTCTACTTGTGTGCCAAGATAAATTGAAATCGGACCAAACTGTAAGAGGAGTAGCATTTTGTTTAGACAGACAGAGAGACGGACGACGGACGCATTACTATCGCATAAGCTAAAAATGGCTCGATTGTACCCAAAACAAAGATTGACCTAGAAATTTATCTGATAATTATGTATACTAAATTTCATTTCAGTATGTGCAATCTCTGCAAAGAAAATGAACGAAAACTGCAAATAACAGGGAAGTTTCTAAGTCCAAGGGCATAACTTTGTAAAAAATGGTGCGATCATACCCAAAATAGAACTTGACCTAGATTTTTATCCGATAAATCTGTATCCCTAATTTCATTTCAGTATATGCAATGGTTGTGAAGAAAATGAACGGAAACAAAGTGGACCGACAGACCGATCGACAGACAGCAGCAAAGCAATATGCCCTCACTTCTTCGAAGAGAGGCATACTTATGAATTTGGTTAAAGCTGGTTATGACGTCAAAAAAAATCCCCCAAATGGCCATAACAGTTTTGACGTAGAATAGCCTTGTTTTTAAAACGATGCAATCTATCAATACAATCATCGTCACCATAAAACATTTTTTGCATCATTTGAACAATTCAAAATATCGAAAGAATTTGATGTTTCCTTTAACACCCTCTCTCCCTGACTGAAAAATAAAGAAAGCATCATTTAATGCGTTTCACAAATTCAACCCTAAACGAAAAGAAACGCAAGATCCTCTACTTTTAACGATGTGG